GCGAACCAATGAGCGGTAATGAGGTGTACTTTATTGAATAACTGCCTCAGATGTCAAATATATATTTTGAAAATCCCTACCAGCTTGGATATTCTAAGTTTAGTCTACTGGATTTGCGACAGGATTTGAGACTGAACTCTTACGCAGATAATCTGGTCTCGCACGGGTTTTAAAAAATATCTACCTTGCTTTCGCAGGAAACTCAACGGATTCCGGCTGGTGCGATCTCCTTAAAGCATTATCAATTGGGTTTTGGGTCCGTTTGTTTGACTTTTGACAAATCTTTTTGTGTTCGGGTTTCATTTCATGTACACTCATGATATGGAAGTAGACTAAACTTGGGAAACCGATTCATCGAAAAAAACCGTATATTAGCTTATGGGGTCTCTTCTCTTTTTCGAATCACGTTTCAAGAACATTGTCTCTCCTGCTTGCGTCTACAGGCTAGAAAACCGGCGTGTACTGTTTGACGGCTTTGATAGAGTTCAGTGATTCCCCTTCCTAAAACTACGTGTGGTGCTTACCTAGACATTTTAGAGTCGTTTTTCTAAGATGTTTGGCAAATAAGCGACGGAACGATTGTCAAAGTTTCTTGTTCATCAAGTGACTTGTCGGAGCCACCCGAAACCCAACCAAAGGCCAGGTTCTGTCCCCATCGCTTGATGACACATGCCCCCCCCCAGTAAATTTGAGCTCATTGATCACCCTACTCCCGATGATTTACACAAGCTCCCGCTATGAACTTGTAACTTGTCGAGTTGGAAAAAATGTTTTAACCCCCACGTTCCTCGGCACCAGACATTTAACACACTCGGTGGATTATTGTGAATCTATGTCGGATTCAATGACCTTGCCTTCGGCAATGTTTCTGGATGGTCTGCCTCCGAGTCTTTATTTAGGCTTTTCTACCGCATTTGTTTAGGTTGACAGGTCCACGTTATAACAAGGCAGAGCAGACAGCTGTTGGGACTTCCTGGTTAGATAAGATCTTGACTTCAGACGAGGCGTATTTTATCCTGGAGAGAATAAAGCGTCGAATGAATGTTCGCACTTACATAGCTTCGAGATATTGTGAGTAAACAAAACTAACTGGATGAGCTGACCACGATAATCCCCTTGAGTAGGTTCTTCAAGAGTTGTGAACGTTTTTCATATCACTACTTCACATATCTGACGAAGATCACCAAACTGGTTCGAAAGAGGCAAGACGCCCTCTCGGCAATGACCAGGATGGAAAGCCAGTGATATCCGCTACCAAATATGAATCCGAGAAGATATCAAGGAGGCTTATTGAAGTGATCGTCCAGTAGTCCCAAGGACTGCATCAATATTTAGAACAGAAGAATTCCTTGAACAAAAAAGAACTTTCATGGGCAGGTTCTACAGTTAAATAAGAACCTCCATGTATTGGATAATTGTGGTCCCTTCTGGAAGATTCTTTTTTGAAGTTTCTGCTTTATAATAAGCTAATATTTTCATGGAGCACCACACTCAACTGTCAAAACTGTAGGTATGCAAACAAGTACATATCATGTCTCTACATGTACTATAACTCTTTGTGCACATACAGTTTGTTCTAGATACTCAAATTTCAAAGAGTCTACGCGGCATCACCTCCGGACATCGTAGCACTTGTGCTCTAAGTTAACCACCCCCGCATAAAAAGCTTTGATTGGTCAGTGGATATTATTTCAACTGTTAATTCATTTCCACCAAGGGTTTATGTTCACTTACTCAAAGGATTAAGTATCAATAGGTTTTTGTGACTTTTACGCGATCTCGGAGCAGGAGATATGATTAGTTGGTTTCCGAAAGCACCAGTTCGGAGCAAAAATGTCTGGATAACGGATTTTCTTTGGAAATGCTTCATTTAGTACATCCTGCACTTTGGTTGTAAAAAGTCACATTTCCAGGTGTGCGCCCTATTTCTCACCACTGCATCCACATTCTGAGCAAACTGCACGGTGCGTAGTTGCAATATTATGGATGGTATGGAACGACCTTGAACAAGTCCTGACTGGAACTACTTCTGAGATGTCTCAGGTGGTTAGAGCGCGAATTCACTGACCGGAAGGTCAGTGGTTCGAACCCGACCTCCATTAACTAGGTTTGGGCAACCTGACAGTCCTCATGCTTCATCCTTGTGGCGTGGCAGTTGGATACCAAAAGAGTGCTACAGCTAAACGATGGAACTACTTCGGGTACGCGCTGATTGGAGGTGAACATGCTCACGTATCTCGTGACCTGTTGAATCGACCAATGCGCCCAAAATTTAAACTTTCTTTGTGAGTAATACACAGAAGAAGAAACACGAGACTACCAAATGGAAAAAAAAGTAACTTGTCCCAAACCCGTTCTGAAACCACGTTTCCACGTTGCTGACTATTTACTCGTCGGATCCTTGTTCTATTGTTTTACCCGATTTCATGAACAGTGTGTCCAGCCGTTGTTTCAAGCTGTTTCAAAACATCTCACCAAGAGGCAAGCTTTTCCTTAAATCAGTGAATTTATACACTACTACATGTTATTTTGTCTTCATCAGGAGACGGAACTCTGGACTTTGGGGAATTTCTTCGGGCAATGTCAGAATACTACGTTCAGCGCCCAATGAAACGTGGCACAAAACCCGAGGACAATGAATTTTATCGTCGTGCGTTTGCTGTAAGCGAATCCATTTTGTGACTCCGCAAGTTCATCTTGATTGTTTTAAATCTATCTGGTATATGTCCTTCAGGATGTCAGGGCATTCTTCAAGTTGACAAATGAGTTGACTTGAAGTCTCCAGCTTACTTATGTTTCGGGGTTGACACATGAAATTTTAACACTACAGCCTTCGTGCTAACCAAGAAGGATCTTAACCAGACAGATGACGACTTAGTTTTGACCGCAACTGGCTCCAGGATGAGTTCCGCAAAACGCGAACAACCTAGATAAATGAAAATTTAAACTTTTTCAGCGAGTAATGCACAGGAGAAGAAACGGGACTACCAGGTGGAAAAAAATTAACTCGTCCCAAACACGTTCTGAAACCACGTTTCCACGTTGCTGACTATTTCCTCGTCGGATCCTTGTTCTATTGTTTTACCCAATTTCATGAACAGTGTGTCCAGCCGTTGTTTCAAGCTGTTTCAAAACATCTCACCAAGAGGCAAGCTTTTCCTTAAATCAGTGAATTTATACACTACTACATGTTATTTTGTCTTCATCAGGAGACGGAACTCTGGACTTTGGGGAATTTCTTCGGGCAATGTCAGAATACTACGTTCAGCGCCCAATGAAACGTGGCACAAAACCCGAGGACAATGAATTTTATCGTCGTGCGTTTGCTGTAAGCGAATCCATTTTGTGACTCCGCAAGTTCATCTTGATTGTTTTAAATCTATCTGGTATATGTCCTTCAGGATGTCAGGGCATTCTTCAAGTTGACAAATGAGTTGACTTGAAGTCTCCAGCTTACTTATGTTTCGGGGTTGACACATGAAATTTTAACACTACAGCCTTCGTGCTAACCAAGAAGGATCTTAACCAGACAGATGACGACTTAGTTTTGACCGCAACTGGCTCCAGGATGAGTTCCGCAAAACGCGAACAACCTAGATAAATGCACGAATTATTGTAGTTTGCTGTGCTTATGCTTCTTCCGATGTTTTGGTGATTAAAGCTTACGCCTAGTGATTTGTTTAAACGCTGATTCATATTGTGGGGTTTCTACTGATTCAACCTCAATTGAAATTAAACGTGCAAAAAGAAAATCGTGCTCATAAACAGAGACGAATATCTTGGCGAATAGCACGTTTGCTCAATTGCCCCCCCCCAAACGGTTTGGAGAAACGATTTTGTAGTTTGAGGTTCGTTATGAATCTACGAGACTATCACTGCTGTTTGCAGCGCGAGAACGACCGCACAGACTTACAGCTACAACTACTCAATGCAGAGACCCATAGCGCCAATAAAGAGGACAGGACATCCAGAGAAGTTTCACTGCCTCAAATGCAGGCGAGTTGCTGTGAGAACAATTTCAAATATCTATATACATGGTGTCTCATATTAGACGCAAAATTTAATTGGGTAAGTAAACGTAGGCAATTAAAGAAAAGCAATTTTTAGTATTAGTAGCCACATAAAGGAGATTTTGTGTGCATGTGTTGACATTTTTTGTCTACGATGGTGTGAAACCTCATTATTCCCCTGGTGAAAGCGCCTCCGCCGCACCTCGTGGTTACCAAACCAAACATGCTCTTATCAAAGATCCTTTCACCGTGTCGATCATTGCACGCTTGATTGTGAAATTTGAGTCCACTCTATCCGTATTGTACTTTCCTGGCAAAGAGAAAAAGGATCTGAGTAATGAAAGAGCGCCCATTGTACAGAATGCCTTTGAGCAACTTCAGTTCCAGAATACCATGGCATCTTCGTCAATAACTCAGGTGTCTCAGTTAAACGGCGTTCCCCACGCCAGCGTACATCGTATTGTGAGACGCCACCTTCATCTCTACCCGTGTCATTTTGCTTTATTACGAAACATCGCGGAAGAAGACAAGGAGCTAACTGGCTGCGGGATAATGAAGAAATCGTTCCCAACATTTTATGAAGCGATGAAGCAAATTTTTCTGTGGACGGCATAATCAACAAGCACAGTTGCGTGATATGGTCCCGTGAAGCTCCTCACGAGTACCTCACCCATAATCTCCGTTCTGCTCATCTCTGTGTGTGGATGGGACTCTCCTCAAAGTGTCTCCTGCCTCCTTTTTATTTGATGCTACGGTTTCCGGCGACGGTTACCTCCATATGCTGCAAACGCACGTTATCCCGCAACTCAAACAGCACACGAAGTCATCGACCGTTTTTCAACAAGATTGCGCTTCACCCCACCACTTTAACCAAGTGACAACTTACCTCGAGAGTAATTTTCTGATGAGAGGGTCATTACTCGTGAATTTCCAAACTTTTGGTCCGCAAATTCACCTGATTTCACACCTCTGGATTATTAGATTTAGGGAATGATCAGGGCTCGCGTATATCATGGAAATAAACCGAATACTTTGAGTGTGCACGAGCGACGTTTGAAGAAGTTGAATATGCTGTGTCTCACATCTCTTACCGCATCTCACTTGTTATAGAAGAAAGGGGCGGTTTTTCAACATCTTTTGTAATGCCAGTTTATTCATAGTAAACATCCATGATGCATGTATGTCCACATAAAAACTAATAAATGTTTGAATTGGTCTTAAAGTTTTGTTCATTATTTTTTGCACCTATTATGAGACACCCTGTATATATATCCTTGGTGACGTGGGGGAATAAGGTAGTCGTTAGCATACACAAAATGTGCACTTCGGTCTTTCTCGTGATATCCGAAATGTCCGCTAAAAGACACGAAAAATGAAAATTGCACATTTTAGACATCCAAAATGTTAATAATTTGGAATGCTGGACTCTCCAAGGTTGATACCGTGAACTATGTGGACAACGGTCACAATTCTGTCATCTGTCTGCACCTAGGTCCCCTTCGTGAATAAATGCCACTCAGTATCACGTATGAGAATTTTGTCACTTTGCATGCCTAATTGAAATGGACGTGAAACACTTCCCCTGATGAGTTCAAAACAAAGGGGCACTACAACTTTATTGATCATCAAATGAACCATTTCTGTGTCCCTTTTAATGCGTGCACAGGACTTGATTTAGTCAAACTGCTGGATGAGCAGATAAGCGTTCAACCCAAGTCCATTCCCGACGTTTCGACTGTGACTGTCTAGGCTAGTGACCGCTAATGGAAGCTTTCAGCTTGTGTTTCACTGGCCATAAATCTGTCATATTTGTTTCTGCTTGGAGTTTGCCGGATCATCTTGACAAGCCGGGAGAACTCATCACAACCTCACTAATTAGATGTGAAATGATTGGTCCCTGACTGCACAGGAATATTTTGAGGGAAGGGGTCACATGATCAAACCCCTTGCCCTATTTATGAGTTAATTTTTCTTGGAAGAGAAATGGGTGCCTGAGGTATCTGGTGCGAAGCTACATGGTTTCATGTATCTTACCGTCATATAACATCATCTGGATTAATGATACTCAAGTTGTACTTTAGCGATGATGACTCAGACTGGTCAAGTGTTTCGACCGAAATTTGGGGGCATTATCTTGAAAACTTTTCGTGTTTGGGAAAACAATAGGAGGTTCCGAGTTTGACCAATTACTTGCCAGTCTGGTGTGTGAAAAACTCACATATACACAGGGCATTCTCGATTTTACGTGCAATTCTAACGTCCGGTTTTTGTTTGAGTTTTTCACATGCACTACTGACATGTTTTTTATTATCAAAAAGGCAGTTCACCACTTAGATATTTAATTTTTCTTTTTTATGTTATCACAGAATATCGCTTGCATAATAAAGTAGTTTTAGTAGAGTAAAGTAACCATAGCTTAATGAGTTTCAAGGATTTTCTAGAAGATAAAAAAACGTTTTGGCATCGGAAATTTCAGTACTGCCCTTCCGCGCATTTGTCCCTGTTCTACACCACGGGATTGTATGAGAGTGACACAAGAGCCATGTTGCTTTGCAACACGATGAGTGAGCAACTGCTTAGAGGAACTCCTGTTAAAATTGGCTGCCGACTGACGTGAACCCGAGAACACTACACTGTTCCATACCATGGAATTCAAGCTAATTCGAAGAACGTCATCGAGTAAAGTGCACGATAAAGAAAGTTAGATTTGGTAACACTTGAAACACAAGTGAAAATAACTTCCTGCAGCAACAAGTTCTTCATTTTCTGAAATCTGTTGGCAACTCTGGGACGCAAAAAATATTACCCGATCTTTACGCAGAATCATCAACACGCCATACAAGAATTAGAGTCTGTTGGCATTTTTAGAAGCGGCTCGTAAAAACTATTAGACCTTGAAACACAAGTGAAAATAACTTCCTGCAGCAACAAGTTCTTCATTTTCTGAAATCTGTTGGCAACTCTGGGACGCAAAAAATATTACCCGATCTTTACGCAGAATCATCAACACGCCATACAAGAATTAGAGTCTGTTGGCATTTTTAGAAGCGGCTCGTAAAAACCTATTAGTCCTGGTGGTTGTCAGCACTATCAAGATGAATTTCTGAGGGAACGTCAGCGAAAATCTACTTATTTAGGACACTTTCGGTGTAAAATGACCGGGTATTGTAGAAAGAAATCAGAACAAATTTTCAAAAAAAACTCCAACCTGATGAGCGAAAAACGTCCTTCACATCTGAGGGTGTTCCTTTGTTCAAAATTGTACTCACTTTGGTTACCAAAAATAGCCTCAGATAGCTGTTGTTACCTCGTTTCAACTTCGTTTACGTCATGTAGTCCGTACCGAGCGACTTCGATCTTGAACCCCGCACTGGGCGCCCACTCACCGCATTCACATTTGCGACACATTTGTCCATATCGGTAATGGACCTCCAAAAAAAACCCATCATTACAAATGTCGTATTGGACCACTTGTCGGGTTCAGATACAACATAATCACTTCTACATTAGTGGCAAAACGTATTCACCAAAGAGAACAGCTTTTTGACTTTTGTGGAAAAACAGATTAACAGTAAAATTAGCAAGATCGTCTTTGATTTTAGGCCCTTAAAACTGTCTATTTGGCTTTATTGTGTGAGCACCATTTGGCGCTTGCATCAAACTTCGGAAGAAACTAAAGGGACGGAAGAAAAACAAGCTGTTAGCAAGTGTGATTGACAACGCCGCAAAAGGATAAACTTCATACGGGGCCGCACTGGCATTCTGGTTATTCTAAATAGTTCAAAGTTAACGCTACATGTTGAAATGGCCTTTGTGTTTCTTCAAAACTCCGAAGTTTTTGCCGCGCATTTGATACTGAAATAACTAAAAACGGGTTTCCGATCAAGGAATAAGCATGCCAAATTTACTTAGGACCACTTCAGACCATAAATCCTTGCCAGGATTGTGCACATTCACACGTCTGTTAATTAAAGGACTTATTTCGTGTACTGTTTTTTCAACATTGTACATAAAGCTCGGCAGCATAAGTAGCACTAAAAACGATTTTTTCTAAAGTTTGTTTTACCCAGCGTGATGACGGATCTATAACAGCGTCATTAAATGATCATTCTGCCAGAAAGTAACTGTTCAGTTACTGCACCTACAAACGATCTCCAATCGAAGCTGATTGGCTGATTGCCTGGAAAGTGCAAATATATTTTTATGCATGACTAAGTTTCCTATAAGATGAGCAAACTTGCTCCACTTTCGAACCTGAGGAAATAGCTAGCTCTAATGTTGACGGATCTTTCGGGAAAAATGATCTGCTTTTCACTGAGAGCAATTTTAGTTTTCACCAATGATTTATGTGGATGCTAGACTCGTACGTCGAGTTCGGAGCACATGCGTCTGTTTGGGAACTGTTACCTTCCGATTGGTCGGTTTGACAGGAACTCCAGTGGAGTACTCAGATGCACTTGACAATCAAGTGAGTGGACCAGGATGTTGCCTGGATGCACGGCAAGACTGGTGGGAATCGTGGGATAGAACGCGGAGATATCTGGCTTAACACTCAACCGAGCACTGATGTGAGCCATTGTCCACGTTCAGAACAGGGGCCACCTGAACAACCAATCATAGTTCAAGGTCAATATGGACTCTTTTACGTGAACAAAGCTGGGCGCACATAATTTTGGCCCCCTTTCTGCTTCATAGCAAAAAATGTGATATCGTTTTATTTGGTACTGATAAGTTCACAAATCATCTGACCAGCTGTGGGCTTCCATCAACTTTTGAGTGAAATATACTACATAATGTTTGGTTCTTACGAACGAAACCCAACTTCATTCTAAAGGCAGGTTTTGAATGAAGCACCCTAATAAAAATGAAACAAATATCAGTGTGATTAGTACCCTTAACCAAGGTGTCAAAGAAAAAACGCTCAGTCTGTAGTCGTAATTAAAGCTTTGATTCAATATTGTTGGCTGAGTACAAGAACCGGAAGAGTAGGTTGGACACAAAAGGACCACAAGTCAATTGTTCTGCCACCGTTATTTTCTAATCACATCATATTTTAGTGAGTGTCCAAAGATGGAAACAAATCAAACATTCTATGGTGCGTCCATCTTTTAACACTTTATTTCGCAACAATACTGGATTATCGATTTTCGTTGTTTGCCGTTATCGCCAAAATTGATGACCACAGTAGGGATGGAAGAGGCGAAGAGACTGTGGGTGAAATAAATGGATTGCAACATTCCGACTCAGAAGCAATATCGCCAAAATTGATGACCACAGTAGGGAAGGAAGAGGACTTATTTGTGGGTGAAATAAATGGCCTGCAACATTCCGACTCAGATTTAGTCTAATACTGATTTCCGTGACTCAATTGTCCTTAATTTTTGAAGCTCATAAATTGAGCGAAGCCGGAAGCAATTTTTGTTTAGGAAATTCAGTCCGAGAGACACACCGATTAGCACACTCTAGGAGATTCATTTTCAGAGAACTCTTAGAATTTTCTATAGCTTAAGCAGGTAGTAAATCTAGTTTTGGTGATATCCCAAATGATTCTGCGAGGCTTTTGATAACAAAGAGAATTCGTTTTGAATATCGGAGTTTTTTGGAGATGGGAGACGCTTGGGAAAGCTAAAGACACGGAGCGCTGCAACACTTAGGAGAAGTGAGAATTCGCTGAGTTTCACTGCTGACGTTTTTAGGCACCATAGGAAACATTTTATTGGTTACCAAGGTCAAGCCATATATGCATATTTCTATTTAGTTTTCCCCTGGTACGCTGTACAATTGTTTTCTGTTCGTGGTCCACCTATAAAGTAGGAAAAAAGTGTAGAGGCAAAGGTTTAACGCGTCAATCATTTCAGAGGATGTCCCCACCGAAATGTATTCTGGCATCATCTGATGAACAACAGAATCATTTGCAACTAAACCCCAAGCCAGCCGGACAGGCAAACTGACAGCAGATAGCCTCACGGGAATTTGCACCAGTTCGTGTTCTCACACTCTTTAAAAAATTACAAGACTACGCCCCGCAAATTTCGCTCCATTAGTAACTTAGCAACGATCATCTACTGCTCGCCTGGTACATTACTACAATGTGAATTCATTCATTTCTGTCACTCAGTACCAAATATTATCGTCAGCAGCAAAAAAACACATGTTCTTGCGACTCATCCCAGTCGCCAGTTTTCCTGCATCGTTAGAATGTACTTGGATTTGCAGTAGGCGAGACAGTGTCATTTGGGGTATTCATAAAAGCACAGAAATGTTGCGTTTCCTTGTGAGCACCTGGGGTACCGGATTGCACAAAAACTTTGAAAAACTGCCATTGGCTGCTAGCTAAAAGCTGTCTACTGGTTATGTCTTCAAAACATTTGATATACCGCTTCATTCGGCTCTTACCGACTAAGCTGCTGCACGGCATGATGATTGGTGAACAACAGTTTTGTATCTTTTTCAAGTCACTGCAATGTAGAATTTTTCAAAAGGTGCTCCAGGGTGAGGTTGTTCACCCAGCGTGCATGTCCGAAATCTCCTCGCCATTTTCACACAACAGCAAGCGCAAGCTTAATTTCAACAGATGGGTATAATTAGAATCCAACTGATAAATCTGCACTTTGTGAAAGTTTAAAAAACGATTCATGAATACTTGAATGGGAGAAATTACGCTTTCTGCAAGGAAGCTGTTTCAACTCAGGTGAATAAGGCATCAGCTTTTTCCTAAAGGAAACTCATAAAGGAAAACTCTTCGACAGCCCATGACCAATTTCGCCCTTCTTGGGGCTCATCAGGTAGACGCATATCGAATATCGTGCCAACTGAGTCATGAGGCGGCCTGTGTGCAGCACATTCAGTTGTAGAATATCATAAACGAGAGATTCAGTTGAGCCTCTCGTGAAAACCAAATTGATCTGCAAATGAGTGTATTTCTCGAAAACAGTTCAATTTGGGTTCAAGTATACTATCAGTTTGACGGAAACTCGGGGACTGCGCCTACCTGATGAGCCCCAAGAAGGACGTAACAGGTCGTGCGCTGTCGAAGAGTATTCAGCAACCTTATGAGTAGTTCCCTTTATGGAAATATACTGCGATATCTCGAATATCGTGCCAACTGAATAATGAGGTGGCCTGTGTGCAGCACATTCAGTTGTAGAATATCATAAACGAGAGATTCAGTTGAGTCTCTCATGAAAACTAAATTGACTTGCAAATGAGTGTATTTCTCGAAGGCATCAGCTTGTTCGAGTTTCGAGGTAGATGGCAAACTAATGGAGACGAGCGTTTTGGTCCCGCACTCCAAATTCGTGATGGACGTCGGTCAACTTGACGGACTGTTTCTCTGGAGATTGAACCAAGAACTATTTTCAAAAAATCCATGGTAACAAATACACGAAGATGTACATAGGAGATGGATGAAGTAAGCTTCATAAGAATCAGTAAGCACAGGAGAAAAGTAAACACGCCATCACAGGTGCAGATGAATATCGGTCTCTAGTGAGAAGTCTTGGCCATAACAGGAGAAGCGCCGGACGACCTAAGTAAAACAGAGTCAAAATCTTCAGAAGAATTGAGGCGGGGATTCAAATCCTTTACACGGAATCCGTTCAGCTGTAACACCTTTCCGGTTTCTAGCCATCTGAAGGAAGAACGAGGGTTGCCTAAGCCTGGACAGAAAAAGTCGGGATATAGAGGTCGGGTTCAAGCCACGAATTCGAGCTCTAATCACTAAGCTACTTTTCCCTCCCCCAACACCCTCGCTTAGCCGCCCAGTGTGACTGAACTGAAGGCGTTGAACTGGGAGTATGTGAAGTGCTCTTCTAGATTCTTCGATCTGCCACTTTTGAATACGGGGCTACCGGGAAGATTTATCACCAACACAAGTGTTCAAGCACACCTACGAAAACTCATCATCACCGGATAAGACCTGTGATGTCGCATACCGGCCGGCGCAGATAAACAAACTTGCAAATTACGTTCAAGCGGATTCAGTACTCGAATTTCTCCGATTTAGAGGACGTTAAACATCGACGTAGTATGCTTCTTAGAGAGATAACGATGAATGTTTTTTCGCTTCAATTCGAGCGCACCAGCCTTTCTTCTGTCAGTTAAAATAGTTAGACATGAGCAAGAAAAGTAGAAAGACAACCCGTGATTGATGTCATTATTCATGGCATTTGGGTTATATGACTGAGCACTATCAGTGGCATGTTGCAAATGGAGGGGATGTGGGTTGTAATCGGATGGGTCTAGGACATAAACTGGCAGTCGTTGCCCGGTAACCCCGGGGGAGTATGGGCGATAAATTGTACTGGGCCACATGTAGTTGCGGGGCGTAGAAATCGGGACCCAAGACGATGCTTAATTTGTCTGGAACTGGCTAGCAACGCTTTAAATATTACAAAGATGAACTATGAGTATGGGCAAGCCGACAAAACAGAGGAAATGAAGTTTTTTGTAAAGATTCCATGGAGATTCTTGACAATTTCACTCGGGTTCTTCAGAGAAAAGAGCGAAAAATATCCGCCTGATATCTGGTTTCTCTCATAGGAATTTGATCAAGACGGTGATGGTTATATCTCTGCTGAGGAACTTCAAGTGCTAATGACCAGTTTTGGCGAAGCATTGACGCACGATGATATCATGGAGATGATTCATGAGGCCGACAAAGATGGGGACGGGAAAGTAAATTTTGAAGGTAGGTGGTGTTGTATTTTCTCGCAATGGATTTGTTCCCGTGTCTCAACGGAGAAATAAGTTTGTCACCAGTTTTGTGCTACTATGTAATTACAAGTAGTTAAATTACACACATCCTTTCAGGAGTGGGAGTGACTCAAATCGAAGCCTTTAATATAGAGATATAAATTTTTACATCAATATACGCACTCTCTCCGTTTACCATATATGCATCTTAATTTTAGATTTTCTGCAAGTGTTACAATGACCAAGACGATTGTGATGGGGCCTTTTAGGATTCAAAGTGCTCAATCACGTTATGTACGGAGAAACACCAGTGAATAAGGAAGGCAGAACGTTTCTGATGCCGACTTCAAGATTTGGGCTGCTGGATGCCGGCTACGACAGAACCTCCGAGGATATGCAGTGGCACTCGAGCAAAATTTCCAACGTGTGTTGCGCTTGAAAACATTTGGCTGTTTCACTTCAATAAACGCGGGAAGACAGAACGCGAGGCTTCAAATGTGTACGATGGGTACCAATCTTTTGGTCGGTGTTAGAGTAGATACTTAAGCAATTAGTCTGAAACTGTTTGGGCAGCGGATGCCTTTTGCGCATGTCAGAAAGGGCTGATGATATTGAGAACAGACTTCGATATATGCGTGAATTTGTTTTTTTTCTGATGGTAATGCCTGAAAGAGTTATTGCCTACCTTCACTCTGATGGGCAGTTTTACAGGTGATGAAATTATCAGTTATCAAGTATGGAAGATTTATTGATACTCAAATTTGTTTGACCAAGTTGCTGTACTAATTTTGATCAAATGAACCTGAACACGTAACTTTGGCTCTTTTTTTGTGTCACCGAGTCCACTTTAGTGTGATCGTCACTTGATTTTTTGGTAGGTGAATTGAGCAAGCCAGGTCTCTTCATGGTCCCTCTTATTTCTGCACCGGATGTTTTTTAAGCGATAGCACATCTTTGCTGATTGTTCCTCTGGTGGCTGTCAGGGCGACTGATCTTTCAGGACAGTGTGCACAGTTCCCGTGAGATAATCATGGTTATTGACGGCAGTTCGGTTAATTTGTATACTAACTCTTTATGTACGAACTGTCAACTGAAGAAAGAATCAAATCGTTCAGCTGTAGCACACTTTCAGTGCCTGACTGCCATGCCACCCGGAGAACGCACGGTGGCTTGGATACTGCAAGGTTGCCCAAGCCTAGACAGGGGAAGTCGAGAGGCAGGGGTCAGTTTCAAACCACGGGTCTTCCAGTCAGCAGTTTCGCGCTCCAACAACTTGGACCGTCTCGCCCATCTGACCATCTCGACTGAATAGGATGAAATGAGCCGAAATGCAGATGACGACTACTGTTTTTATGCAGAGGCTTGTACCAGATAGTGCGTACGGTCTTCTTTAATGGGTGATGATGATGCAGTTATGGCGTCATATTCAGTTTCATCACTGAATGACTCGTTATAACACCAACTGCTGTGGAATTGCAGAGTAAACACTGTGTACTGAACTCCTACAAGAAAAAAGGCCAGTTATTTCCATTCTACTGATATACGAAGTTTTGCAGTGACACATCTGACCTACATTGAAAAAGGACGCACTGGTCTTTCCTTTGGACGATTGCCAGAATTTGTCTCAGATGAGATGTGGGCTCGCAAGTCGATTCAGTTCGTGTACTGAACATCATAGAGAAATACACTCATTTGAAAATCAATTTGCGTTTTACGAGAGATTCAATCGAATCTCTCGTTTATGATATTATACAACTGAATATGCTGCACACAGACCACCTCGTGTTTCAGTTGGCAGGATATTTGAGATATTTCAGTATATTTTCATGAGGGAAACAACTCACGAAGTTGCTGAAAACTCTTCAAAAGCCCAACCGGTTACGCCATTTTTGAGACTCACCAGGTAGACGCAGTCCCCGGGTTTCCGCCAACCTTATGTTCTCGAAAACAGTCCAATTTGGGTTAACTTAGAACATAAGTTTAACGGAAATCCGGGGACGTTGCCTACCGGATGAGTCCCAGGAAGGGCGAAACCGGTCGTAGGGTGTCGGAGAGTTTTCAGCAACCTTGCAAGTAGTTTCCTTCACCAAATTTCTCTTTCTCCTAGTTGACAACCAACATAATTAGTATATCCTGAAAGTGAGGGATGCTTCAGTAGGTTTCAGACAAGATCATCTGAAACGAAATGCGCTCGTGACACAAGCAGCTATTTACTACTGTGTCAATCGAACCCCTGTGGTTAAGCGAATGGTTCTTGAGTACCAACGACAAGTTTACAGTAAAGCGTCCTTCAAATACCATTTGAGGGAACATATATAATAGATATATAAGAGCTGCCATTGGCTACGTTGCATTTGAGGTTAGAAAGGGTGTGGGTCATTAAACAACTCATGGAAGGTAGCTCAATTTTCCACGTTTAAGTTTTGTTTGTATCATAGCTGGATTACTACAGCCATTTCTGAATTAAGAATGATGAAATCTTGTGTTAATTTTCATGATATTAGTTAAATGGGGTCTATTGATCTGAGATGTACAGATGCACAAGTTAAAGAAATTAATTCTGCGCATTATCGAGCATTGAAATTCCCTTCCTCCATTTTCCGGAAAGTTCTAAATGAACTTGGCTTGTTCTTGTAACACGTGAATATTTTCAACCGAATTCACCTGAGTTGTAATGGTTAGACCATTGGGAAAAAGCAAGATTTTTTGACAAATATTTAGGACCCTACATCACGCATTCTGAGCAACTGGAAAAAGCCGTTATTTAATTAGATGTACATTTTGATTTCAAACAACGCATTGTACGCATCATACAGAGGAATTTGAAAAAAAAAACATTCCA